GTTAAGGTTTTCCTGGACTGTAAACACTTTGGACTGAAGGTAGGGAAAATCTCAATTCTGCTTGTTTAAAAAAGAAAGAGAAAACTCCCTGCAGGTAGAAAACGCATATGTTAGGGGTCTTCTTGACTTAGCCGTACTCCTGAAGTCCTCAGACGTGTTGGTTGGCATCGCAAGTAAATCGGAGGGAAGGCTGCTGAGCTGGAGGCTGCTGCTTTTTAGGGGCTGGAGGCAGCAAGAGTATGCATTGGGAGTACCCTGTCTGCGTCCATGACATTTCGGCATGATAGCTGACCCCCTCACCAGTTATAATTATAATAGAGGGACAGCCCTGCCTGTTTGCTACAGGTGGACAATGTGATTATTGATGTATTCATGGCAGAAGACACCATAGTTTCCAAGTGTCAAACGATGGATGAAGTTTATGGCCAGTACCTTTGCCCTCTAGCAAACCTTTGTGCTTTCCCAGCATAACTTTGTTTAGGAGCAAACATCAGATTTTAGGCACTGGCCATGCCTATATGGCTTAATAGATAATTCTATCTGTATTGAATTGTAGGAAGGTTAATTTTTTGGGTTTCCTTGTGAGTGTGGATTTCTTTTTCAGTCCTGGGTACACCCACCACACCTTTCAGGGAGCTCCTGCACCAGGTTTTGATCAGCACCTCACCAGGAACTCCAAAGTCATTGAGCGTCTTGCTGTCCCTTTGTACAGTCTTTAGGATCACTTAAGAAGCACATAGTTGGGTCAAGCCAATATCTGTCTAGTAGCCCAAGCAGTCTGGTTGCAGCTGCAGGCAGCTGCCTCCAAAGATGTGCCTCAAAAGCAGGTGTGCAGGTAACAGGCATTGTTTGTTCTGTTTATATACTGTTCCTTCAATATCCATGGTTCTTGACAGATGATCGGTAAAGGGACAGGCTCCCTGCTCCAATGAACTTACAATCTAAAATGCAACCCAGTGGAGGAAGGTGGCAATACAGGTAAACGTGAGAAGTATATGAGGTCGGCTCAGTTTCATTAGGGGAGGCCTGTTAATTTTAATTTTATTTTTGGACTGGCTTTCAACCCGTGGTTCCCAAGGCAGGTTTATATGAAGTGAAACAATTGAAAGCCATGAAAACAGTGGTACTAAAAGCCACGACAATTAAAGCAGAAATAGTCAGATTCACAAAGGCCAGACATTAAAATTAAAGAACACTCTGCTAATGGGCTTTACTATCAGTACCATGACCATCTAGTCCTCAAAAGTACACTGAACAAATGTGGTGGTAGTCCCCTAAGGAAAACAGCAAGAGAGCACCCTCCAAAGCTCCCAAGGGAGGCAATTCCATAATTCCTGAGACACTGTTAGCAGATCTTAAGTAGCATGTGGCAGTGTTCATACAAGAGACGTTCCTTGAGATATTCAGAACCCAGCTGGTTTAGCACTTTGAAGGTAAAAACCAGCACCTTCTGTTGGGCCTGGATGCAATGAGGTAACCATTATCTTTCAATATAGATGTCATATCATTGTTATGTCTTATGCCTATTAATAGACTGACTGATGCCCTTAGGACTAGTTTCTCGTATCCCCATGTATATGACATAGCAGTAGCTTGATTGAGAAGTCACCAGAGCCTGAGTCACAGCAGCCAGAGTTTTGTTTTTAGCAATAAGCAACATTTGGCCACAGCATGGCTGGATCCAAAAGCATTCTCAGCCTTATGAACCTGATTCTTAAGGGCAGTGAAACCCGAATCTAGAGCAGGCATTTCCCCAGACAGACAGTTGACTGAGCTTCCACAATCATCCCACTACCATTCTGTCTGGATTTACTGCATTGTCTTCACCCTCATCCCATCTGTGACAATCGCAGATAACTTATTCAGAACATAAGATCATAAGAGAAGCCATGTTGGATCAGGCCAGTGGCCCATACAATCCAGCACTCTGTGTCACATAGTGGCCAAAAACCAGGTGTTATCAGGAAGTCCACCAGCGGGGCCAGACTCCAGAAGCCCTCCCACTGTTGCCCCTCAAGCACCAAGAATACAGAGCATAACTCTCCCAGATACAGTATTCCATCTATACCAGAGGTGTCGAACTCATTTGTTACAAGGGCCGGATCTGACATAAATGTCACCTTGTCGGGCCAGGCCACGCGTGCCATAAAACATAATACCAGGTACTGGAGATAGAAACTGTATAAAGGACAGCAGATGGTAAGCTCCAAGTTGGTGTATCCTCACTACAAGCCCCATGGGCTGGGAGGGGGGTGCAGAGGAAAACCCACACAGGCAGACTTGAGAGACAGCAGTGCAGTGCTGGGCAGATGCTCTCATGATGCATGACTGCTGCAGATGAGGTCGTTCTGCCATGCTGAAGCCACAGTGGAGTGGCTCCGCTCCCTTCCCCAGTACTCCCTCCCTTGCACCAGTTGCTTGTGGGCTGCATAAGAGCCCTGGACAGGCCAGTTCCAGCCCCCAGGCCTTATGTTTGACACCCCTGATCTATACCATAGGGCTAATGGCCACTGATGAACCTCTGCTTCATATGTTTATCTAATCCCCTCTTGAAGCTGTCTATGCTTGTAGCTGCCACCACTTCCTGTGGATGTGAATTCCACGTGTTAATTACTCTTTGGATGAAGAAGTGCTTTTATCTGTTCTAAACCTACTGCTCATTAATTTCATCGAGTGCCCACGAGTTCTTGTATTGTGAGAAATGGAGAAAAGTACTTCTTTCTCTACCTTCTCTATCCCATGCATAATTTTGTAAACCCTCTATCATGTCACCCCTCAGTTGTCATTTCTCCTATCTAAACAGCCCTAACCTCTTTAACCTGTCTTCATAGGAAAGTGTTCCATCCCCTTAATCATTTTAGGCCCAGGTCATATGGGCCGGAAAATGCGGGGGGGAAGCATGGCTGTTTGCCCCGGGGCAAAATAATGCATGGTTGCACGAGCAGACGTCCCGTGGAGGTCCCGTAGTTAGGGGGGAGGTGCCGATCAAAGGACAATCCTGCGGTGCTGCAAAGAAGCAGGGCCGCGGGGCAAACGGGGTTGTTTTTTAAAAAAACTAAAGTGTGCGCATGCTCCATTGGGTGCTTGTGCGCATCCATGGAGACTTAGGAAAAAAACACCTTTTTGCGAGGGGACAGACGCCCGCCCATGCCCCGTGGTTTCCGGAAACTAGTACCTCGGAGGTACTAGTTTCTGCACTTTTTCCAATGCTGTAATATCTTTTTTGAGGTGACATGACCAGAACTATACACAGTATTCCAAATGAAGCTGCACCATCATTTTAAACAGGGGCATTATGATACTGGCTGATTCGTTTTCAATTCATTCCTAATAATCCCCAGCATAGCATTTGCCTTTTTTATTGCCATTGCACACTGGGTCGACATTTCCAGTGAGTTATCTACCACAACTCCCAAGTTCTCTCTCCTGGTCAGTCTCCACCAATTTGGACCCAATCAACATGTGTTTATAGTTAGGATTCTTGGTTCCAATGTGCATTACTTTGCACTTCAAGAGGGAATTAGATAAACATATGGAGCAGAGATCCATCAGTGGCTATTATCCACAAGGTATAGATAGGAACTCTGGGGCAAGTGATGCTCTGTATTCTTGGTGCTGGGGGGGCAACAATGGGAGAATTTCTAGTGTCCTGGCCCCACTGGTGGACCTCCTGATGGCACTGGGTATTTTTGGCCACTGTGTGACAGAGTGTTGGACTGGATGGGCCATTGGCCTGATCCAACATTGGCTTCTCTTATGTTCTTATGAACCTCATTTGCCACACTGAAGCACACTCGCCCAGCCTCAACAGATCCCTCTGGAGCACCTCACAATCCTCCCTGGTTCTCACCGCCCTGAACAACTTAGTGTCATCTGCAGACTTGGCCACTTCTCTGCTTACTCCCAACTCCAAATCAGTAATGAACAAGTTTAAAAGCACCAGACCCAGTACTGAGCGCTGTGGTGCCTCACTGCTTACCGCCCTCTACTGTGAAAACTGCCTATTTATACTCACTCTCTGTTTCCTGTTAATTACCCAGTTTTTAATCCACATGAGGACTTGTCCCTTTACCCTATGACTACTGAGTTTACTTAGGAGTCTTTGATGAGGACGACCTTGTCCCGAGATGCAGGCCTTTCACTCCCCCATCTGTTTCTGAGCATTAGCTAGTGTACTAAGCTCAACAATGTGAGGAGATACTTTCCTTTATAAATATGATCACCTACACTTGCACGAGGCTTGCCAACGTTCAGGTGGGGTCTGGAGATCTCCCACTATTTATAACCGATCTCCAGATGACAGAGATCAGTTCCCCTGAAGAAAACGACTGTTTTGGAGGATAAACTCTGTGGCACTGAACCCCCCTCTCAAAACCCCACCCTTCCCAGGCTCCACCTCTGAACTCTCCAGGTATTTTCCAGTCCAGAGCTGGCAACCCAGACTTGCACAGTGGTAAGGCTGGTTCGTCTGCATTGACAATAATTGGAAATTGTGGTAGAATAGGGATCATTGGTAGTAGCAGAGAGTGGTTTCAGATGGGCTTACTGAGACTGTATGATTGCACCAGAGCCATTAGAGGAGTGGTGTGGTTATAATACATGGTGATGCTCTCCCTTGACAAGGCTGCGTTGCTCTTGTTTCGCCATGACCTTCCCTGCAGTGGAAGACCACCAAGGTCACAGAGTGGTGGTGGGAGGGGATTGAACCACATTCCTTCTCCTTTCTGTACCCTCTGCTCTCACACGCTGCCTAAGCAAGGGTACACCCTCCTCCTTAACCTGCTGCAGATCCTCCTTCAACAGGCCACCCTTCCAATCCTCTCCCAGAGCCGGCCCCCTAGCCTCCACCTTTTCATCCAACCAGGAAGAGTCTGAGGTGCAACCACCTCTTGATTTGCTCCCTCCTCTTGGTGGGGATTCTGTGACCTGCTCCACCTGGCTGCCAAACTGGATTACCTAACCCAAGCCCACTGCCCTGCCCTGCCTGTATGGGGCCCATCATGGCCAGGCTGATGCAGCTGCTGACTGAGTGTGGCTTGCCTCAGCTGAGGTGAGTTGTGCCTGCAAAGTCCAGGGCAGTGAGCTGTAATTTCTGGTTTGAAGCAAGCTGTTTCTTCAAATGAAATGGCCGTTCCAGGCTTTAGGAGAACTTTGGTGGGATAGACGCTGGCTGAAGCGATATGAACCTGGGCTTCAAACCCCTGCAACTTGCCTCTGCAAAATTTTCATCGACTGTTTCCATGCTTATAAGTTGAAGAAACTCTCTGAAATTGACAGAGCCATTACCATCCATGTCCACATAGCCTGGCTTCCCCAGATTGCCCCTGCTGTTATACTGTTCATTGTTGCACATGTTCAGCCCCGTAAGAAGTGGTGTTGACTGAGCAGCAGAAATTCTATATCTTGTCATTCTGTCAGTGCCCTTCCGGCTTGCAGCCAGCGATCTGTTCCCCCCTGGGTTTCATCCTCATCATAGGCTGCTAATTGCAGCCAGCTGTCAGGTGGACGAATGTCTGCTGTGTATTAATTGCAAGGGCACCTCCTTTCATTGGTAGGTTTGCCAGATCAGAGACATTTGGGGGCTGTGGTATTTGAAACAGAGACATCCATTATGTTCTATGGGACTCTGATATACTGGAAGAACGGATGGCCCTCTACAAGGTGGACATCTGGTGACTCTTTATGGGTAACCTAATAGCATTCAAATCCAAGCCGTTAGGGGTTGAAAAGTTGTGCCAAGAAATGAGCAAGTCTGATCTTCTTTTTGATTCTTGGGGCTTCCATTGTGTTAGGCATTAAGGCCTTTATCTCACTACTTTAGCTTCAGTAGCAGGGAAATAGAAACATGGGGCAGTTCCAGGCACAGAGACTTAAATGTAACATTAAGCAATATAAGATTTCTTTCCAGTATTGGTTTAATGCTTTGGTTTATATATGACACTGCAGTGGAGGAAGTTCCACAGAGAATGTAATTGCATTCTGTTCAGAATGGAGTTGGATGGTTGATTGTATTAGAGAGGTTCGTTTTGGGGATGGGGGGCAGTTATTTTCATTGTTCTCCTAGATATGAGCTCATTTTCATTAGATAAAATATTGCTCTGGTAGGTGATGTGTTCTAATCGATATTCATTGACCACGGTGTCAGAATTGTGTTCAAATTCTGCATACAAAATAGGATTGGAAGTGTGATTATTTCAGCCTCAAATTTACAAAAATGGGGTGTCAGCGGTGACCTACCTCAAAGCATTTCTGTGAGAATGAGGAAGGCAGACATTGTAAAGTTATTTGATGATATTACGTTAATTTGTAAAATGGATTTGTTTATAAGAGCTTGTTGCTTTTGGGAGCATTTGGAGAGCAGCTTCATTTGTGATGCATTCAGATGAGCAGGAATCACAACTGCTATTAGTAGGAGATTCACAAGTACTATCAGCATCAAGAGCTTTTTCCCCTGGGAAAGAGATGCACAAAATTCTGTTATGGCTGTTAGCAGTGATACACCACTTTCTCCTCCCTCCAAGTTTGCATGATGTTTCAGGATACTGTAAAGGTCAGATCACGCATTACACCAGATCAGTGATTTGAACTCCCAATGTTTAATATATCTGTATCTTTACACATACACCTTTCCCAGGTAGGGCTGCCAGGTCCAACCAAGCTGCCGGTGGGGATCCATCCAACCCTTTCTCCAGGATTTTCTGGCACATGCCACAATGATGTCACCCAGAAGTTACGTCATCACGTTGGAGGAGTGACACTCTAGTTTTTGGGCAAAACTCTTTTTTTTTGCCTTCAAAACCATAGAGTTTGCCCAGAAACTAGAGCATCACCCCCCGATGTCCCTGACACAATGATGTCACTTCCGGGTGACATCATTGCATCTGGGTCATCGCCTGGTGACATCCCTGTTTGGGGGCGGGACTTCCCCCTCCGGCCATCTGGATGGCAGTGGATCCAAGCCCCCCAAAGCAGGGGGATGGCAAAACTGGGGGATGGCAACCCTACTCCCAGGGTTATTGTAAGGATAGAGTGGGTCAGGAATGAACAATGTATGACCCTGTCAGTAGCTTAGAAGAATGGCAGGACAAAATGTAATAGATAAGTAAACATTTATACATGAAGTATGTTTTTAATATGATTTGGTAAAACGATACAGGGACTAGGCATGTTTTAACTCTGGTTTGAGTGTGGGTACCTGGATTTCAAAGTCTTGCAGGTTTGTGTGACAGGACTCGAACCCTAAACCATTCCCCTTGTGTTCCTTTGGTTACTTCTCATTTGGAGACTGTGCAAGGATGACTTCATTGTCTGTGGAGCAGAAGGCAGCAAACGGTGGTCCAGATTGCATGGGTTTGTTGGTGTAGGCTGGTGCTGGCTGTCTTCTGTTGTGCCAGAGGCCTTTGTGTTTCATATGCAAGTTGTACGATTCCGTGAACTGTGTTCATATCACGCACCGCACCACTCGCAGGCAGGAAAGGCAGCTGCGTTTTTCTCAGCTGAAATACCTGACTGTGAGGTGGGATGAAGATGGGGGGACCAAGGAATAAAAAAAGTCTGAAGGCAGAAGTTTGTCACGCTCAGCGTTCCAGCTCTTTGCAGAAAGGGGCCAGGGAGCACTTGCCAAACAGTCAGTGGGCCTTCCCATTTTCTTCAAGGCTTTGATAGTTTTCGCCAGAGTTCTGACTCAGACCAGAGGATTGGCAGCTCACAAACACAATGTAAACGGCCCGGCCCTGCGTGTGCTCTGCATCAAGGAAGCTCCAGCACCCTGCTTGGAATAAATTATGCAAATACACACATTAACTCAAGTATAGTGGTCGTAATTATGGAGATTTTCACAGGAATTTGAATAGTGTTGGGGATTGCACAGGAAAAAAAAGAAGTTGTGGGGGGGGTGCATGCTAAGACAAGAGGTCAAGGTGGGCTGGTTTGAGGGGGGGAGGTTGTTTCATTTAATGGGGAGTTCTTTCCCTGGATTGCGAAACAACCCTCCAACCATAATCTTGTCCGCCTGATGTTTGATGAATAATTTTTAATACAACCATTCTAGATTTGTGAAAGATAACTGCTTGCATGATATAGCAGCGCTCCGTGCTTCTGTAGAAACAGTCCTCCTGTTCTCAGGCACCTTTTGACTCAGAATAATCCTGTTTTAATACTTCATTTACACTTACAGTCTAGATAATATGAAGTGCAAATGTATATTGCAGTGTAATTCTGCAGGTGGGGATCCTCTAACAGTGATCCCTCACTCCACTGAAAAGGAAGAAAATGCATATAAAAAGGAGTCCCTAAATGCATATAAGAACGTGAAGAACAGGAAACCAATTTCTGCGTATGGTGGGAGTGCTATCAAGAGCCAGCTCAGCTCTTGAGAACTGAACAAATAATCTAAACTTGCGTAGACTCTCGGTCTTTTGATTGTATGAAGAGTTACTTTGCTGTCAACGAATCTTTGGGTGCATACAGACAATCATGTCTTGAGTGGTGAGCTCTTTGGAAATATATTCTCTACATTTTTTGTTCAGAGACTATCCTTTTTTCCTGGTCTGAGTTGAGGAGACACTAGTTCTGTGTGGTTTCTGTAGAAGTTGCCTGTGCTCACCCCTGATTGGCAGTGAAATCACTATATCACATCTCCCTTTTTCTGAGCAGTTTTTTTTTTATTTTAAAATGTTAAAAATCTTTTTAAAATTTCATTTGTATGGGGATGGATGTATATTCCGTGGAATAACTAGATTCAGTTTCTTAGTAGTAAAAAATAAATACATTGCTATCTTACCTGAAGCGGGTTAGTAGTGCTGGCAAGAGGATGAATCAGCGTTCAGATCTCTGCTACATACATTTGCCCTCTTCATAGCAAATGTTAGTGGAAACTGCTCTCACCCTGTGGAAGGAAGAACTTGGCTTTGAGGTGCATCAAAATGCACCCTTTGCTAATCACTCGGGTGATTTAGGAGAGTTGCTAAATATGCCGATGACAGGATTTACATGCATTACTGGGCAACCAAAGGATAGCTCGGAATAGTTTTGCCATCCACTTGCCAATGTACAACAAGAAACTCTTTTTAAACTAAATGAGCCAGTTGATCTCCATCAGTGGCATAGTCCCTTGAATCCCATAGTGAAACTAGTTTCAGTTTAAACAAAAATATGTTTATTTACAAAGAAGCAAAATAGTCAGTGTGCAGAATATGAAGAAAAGCACAGAAATGAATGTAACTCTATTGTTTCAATGTGTGTGTTTTTATTTTTAGGGTGTTTGCAATGGATGCCATGTAAAGGTTCAAAACACAGTCCCATACCAAGACCTTATAGTTTGAACGGTCGTGTGCAGAGATGATGACTAGGGCATTCTTACTTTTATTTACAAGGACAGATTTCTTGATTTCTGTGTAGAAAGATAAAACCATGTTTCTGCCTCAGAGGGCAATGGTCATCACAACATCCTATGACATGAATACTGTATTAATTATGATGAAAAACTTCTTATGGAACCTACTACCAGTTGGATTTCATCAGTCAAATGGTCTTGAGTTCTAGTGTTTTGAGGAAGTGAAAGTAATTTTTCAATACTCGTTTCTTTTACGCCATTAATTATTTTATAAATCTTTTTTCATATCCTCTTATTCATCTTCCCCCCCCCCGAATGAACATATTGAACATTAGTTTCTTAAAAAGACCGCCAAGCTTGGTTTGATAGAAACAGATTGAATAATGAATGGTTTTCGATAGCTTTGGATTTTATGAGCAGGCCTTATTTTTGTTGTTGTTATTTTTCTTATTATATTGTTTTAACACATGCATTATTCGCAAAAACAACGTTTTTAATATTATATCATACATGTATTCATGTCAGCTAAAGTTGCTGAGTGAATTCTGAAACAATCTATGACCTTCTTACCCTGGGATGCTGGAAGATTTGTTGGGACTTTCAGCCATAACTGGGACTGCACTACTTACCTGGAAGTGAGTCTCATTGAAGTCAATCAGATTACATTCTTGGTAAACTTGATTAGGATTGCGATATCAATCAGATTGCACCTCATTAATACCTAGGGTTGCCAACCTCCAGGTGACAGCTGGAGATCTCCTGGGATTATAACTGATGGCCACTTTGGAAGGTGGACTCTATGGCATTATACCCCATAGAAGTCCCTCCCCTCCCCAAACTCCACCCTCCTCAGGCTCCACCCTCAAAATCTCCAGGTATGTCCCATCCCAGAGCTGGCAAACCTACTAATAACAGCCTCGCCCTCTGTGATTTTAGCAGAAACCAAGAATTAGATCAAATAAATTCACACTTAACTGATTTACATGGCATACGATGTTCTTTATTTTGTCTCCAGATCATCAGAAGTTGGAGCGAGAAGCTCGAATTTGCCGTCTCTTGAAGCATTCCAACATTGGTAAGTATTTGTCAGGGAGGGCTGGGGGGTGACTTTAAAGATGGTTTGGGAGGACTGAGAATACTTGTCTGCCATTAGTATTTTCCTTGGTTAGAGCACTGCTTAAATGGTAGGGAGGATGATGGAATGTTTGTTCAGTCCAATGAGCTGATATTTTGATTATCACCTAGGTTTGAGAAGGCATTTTTCCAGAATCTTTTCCAACAGATCTGTGTGTTTTTGTGCTTGTGCATGTAAGGTATGCAAACCTTTGCCATCTATAAATCATATTCAGTAGACTAGGTCGATCTCTGGTCTGCAACTAGCATTTTTTTGAGGGTCAAGCTGGTGTGGCCAACAGCCTTTCCCCTTAGGAAGAGTCTTACCTTCTCATGGTCTTACCTTTCACTGCACTAATTTAATTCAGTTTTGTATGTTTTGACATACATTGGTGTGCTTTGATCTGCGAAGCGGACATGTTGCACTTTGTGTTATCTGAAATGTCCTGCGGGTCACTGCATGTGACCATTTTGCTGTTGCTGCTTGGTGAAGTTTGCCATTTTGGAGTGTAGCGTATTCTGGTACAGAAATTCTCTAGAACAATTGTGGTTCTTTTATGTATGGTCTTGTAGTGAGTTGCTTTAGGTGGTTTTGAACCAGGGGGTAGAGTTGTGGAAAGTACCGTCAAGTCGCAGCCAATTTATGACGTGCCTGTAGGATTTCCAAGACAAGAGATGTTCAGGGGTGGTTTGCTATTGCCTACCTCTGTGTAGCAACCCTGAACTTCTTTGATGATCTCCCAAAGTACTAACCAGGGCCAACTCTGCTTAGCTTCTGAGATCTGACAAGATCAGGCTAGTTTGAGCCATACATGTCACAGGGCAGTTTTGAACCACGAGGGCCCTGATTCTCTGCTATTCCAGTGTCAGGAAATGTACAGTTTTGCAGTGAAAAAAATTATGCAGACAAAGTAAATGGTGTACAGACATGTCACATATGCATTAAATATTTTTACTTTGCATACTTTCCCCGTAGTGTATTTTACATGGAGGAGGGGGGCTGCAGAGAGATAGAAATGGGTGGTAGGAAAAGGATGGGAATGGATAGCGCAGAGTTTGTTCAACATGTATATGATGTGCTGTGTAGCCATCAGAGGTCATTTCGGGGGGGAACGCGGGGGAACACAGTTCCCCCGGATGAGGTGCACGGGGGCGGGGCACATGATGAAGCCCCGCCCCCTGCTACCGGCCGCCCTGCTTCCAGCCCTCATTCAGCCAGGAGGAGGCAGGAGAAGAGGGAGGGTAAGTTGCTTCCTCCCCACCTCTCCCCACCCCTGCCTGCCTGGGGCCAAGGAGGGCCTTGGCGGGGCTTCCTCGCACTCCCGCTGGCCTTGCAGGTCCATCGCCGGGCCCCTGATGTCAGGGGGTGTGGCATATGCTAATGAGTTATGCTAATGAGTTCCCCTAGCTCTTTTTCTACGAAATCACCCCTGGTAGCCATAGAATGTATTAAATTATTGAGGAATTTTTTAAAACATTGCCTTTGCTTCATTATCACAAGGAGTCTGATTATGGAATCTGGATTTTATAGAAACAGATGCTTGGTGAAGAACTTACACTTGGTGAAGAACTATACAAAGAGACCAGTGGACCCATTTCTTAAATGGTGCTCCTGTCAGTTTAGTTACTGATCAGGGTCTTAAAGTTGTAGGAGCTGCCTCAGTGTCTGGGTTCTGAAAATCCTGTTTGCTTGTAATACGCAGTCTAATTTTAATGTTTCAGGAGGGTAGCTGTGTTGATCTGCAGTAGAAGAGCTAGGTCTGATGAAGAAGGCAGCTTTGACTCTCAGAAGCTTTTACCCTGAAAATCTTGTTGGGCTCAAATCTACATGATTTTAACATGGCTTAAAAAAAAAACAATAATTGAATAATTGTTTCACATGTACCACCTTCCTTTTTTAAAAATGTGCCTTTTTAAAGAAATTGGCATTCTGTTTAGATGGGGGGGGGGGGTTGTAAGTTGGGGGAAATGCAAGAATGGGAGAATCCTGAAGGGTGTTTCCTATAAAAGGATGCAAGCAGTGGAACTGAATACTAAAGGAGAGGTAATTGGGGCATTGTGGAAGGGATGGAGAGAGTTAAGGGAAAGAAATGCCATATCCTACAAGTTATTATTTCTGATTTAGCACTGTGGATCTCCAGGAAATACTTTTATATAATGCACATTTGTGTCTTTAGTATTTTTTATTGTTCAGAGGCATAAAGTTAAGAAAACTGAAATAGCTAAGAGTTCAAGGAAATGCTGCTTGGGAAATTTGGACCGTCAGTGGTCAGAACATACCTCTTACTTCTTCACTGCAACTTGAGGGAGTAAAATAAAATTGTTACAGCATTGAAAGGACACCTTCTTTGACAGCCTTGTGGATTGAAAATAAGACCGATTTGTTTTGGTAAAATCCATAAAGTTAATATTTCAGGGGGGAAACTGGAAAGCAATTCATATATTACATGTAAAAAAATATTGAGTTTTTCAATATGGATATCATCAGAAGCAAAGACAAGCAAGTATTTAGACTTAGGCAGAACACTCTTTTTATGTATTTTTTTCTCATAGCAAACAGCTTATCTTTAAACCATTATTTAATTATTTGGAAACTTTAAATTAATTGTTCAAGTGCTGCCTTTTACCATCTCATATCATAGGACAGAGATCAAGCCACCAGATGCAATTATTTATGTAAGAATTTATTTAAAATATTTGTATACCACTTCTGTAAATTTGTGTAATAAAACACATAAAAACTGCAATATACAATAAAATAGGCTAATAATGTAAAACATGCAACACAGAAAGAACTTTAAAAGATCATGATAAAAAGTAGCGTTAAAAGTCAGTCTATATTAAAGCCAGAAACAGGAGGTTCAATTAATACAGGATCTAAAAAGTTTTAACAGTGTGGTTATAATCAGAGACAACCCTTGTAAGCCTGTTGACTTTAGCAGATTTAGAGGGGTATAACTCTGTTTAGGATTGCACTATAGATGATCCTAAAAACCCCAGATTAGCAGTTAACAAAATCTTAGATAAATGAGAAAGATTTGGCCTGGTACCAAAAAAGTTAGCAGATTTGGTGCCTGGTAAAAGGTTAGGGAAAAATATTCCAGAGACAGGCACTATGACAGCCCCCCCCCACAGATCCACAACAGGAAGGATGGCAAAAGGTGAAGGCATCAAAGCAATGGAGAAAGTGGGGAGGCAAGAATCATGAGGGACGAAAGTTTATGTGTGCTTTGGTCAAAGAAGAGGAGGATTTGGGAGTTGAGGGATTAAGCTGAAAGCTTGTCAGGGAGAGGTGGGTTTTCAGGCGGGATTTCAAGAAAGAGAGGAAGGTGGCACCACACGGGTGGTCCAGGGAAGCATTTTCA